ATTATAGCCTAGATCTATAACCATTAGCCTAGATGGTGTAGAATGCACAAGTCTGAGTGTTAGCATCACCCTGTTTCACTGGTTGCACGTGGTGTTATTTCTTCATTTTACCAACTTGGTTTTAATAATCTAAGTACTCTTCACACTGTTTGTGCAATATGGGCCTCACCCTTGAGCAGTCTGAGAAGAGTTTGCATACACACAAATGCTGCATAAATCCACATTACTGAACACCTGGAGAAGAAGTTCAAACTGGAGAAAATGTTTTATAGCCACCCTTGGCACATGGCACTGGCTGCGCTCTAAGGAGAGGAGTTTCAAGGAGGTGATAAAACCTTGGAAAGAATGTGCAATCGTCATACTGCTGGAGACTTGGAGAGGATGAATGTCATAAGCCCTCTGGTCTTACCTTACCTCCCTGCGGCTTTCTAGGCAAGAAAAAGGAGTTCTGGCCTCTCTGTTTTTGCCTGTTCCTCACTATTGGAAAAGGGATGAGCTCTGGCATCCGTCTGTTTTAGTGATAGTCACTAAATCAATGTAAGCCCAAGGGTTGGTTCTACATGTTATGGTTAATTTAGACCTGGAATCTTTAGGGTTAATGTAAGATGTATACACAGATAATTACTACTCAGAGAAATAGGAGGGTACTTCAAAAAGCTCATGGAAAAATAGAATTAAAAGATAATATGAATCTTTCCATGAACTTTTTGAAGACCCCGTGTATGTGATAACAGCAATAATTGCTCTATTAATATTTGCTGAGTGAAAAAATATAAAAGCTCTCATTTATTTGCCAAATGATCATCAACTATCCTCTCTGTGTCAGATGGAAAGATCCTCAGGTCCTAGTCTTCAAGGAATTAAATCTCATGTGAATGAGAGACAGTTTCCTATAAATGCCATATTAAAAACTGACTGATTTTCCTATGTTTAAGCACTTTAACAAATAAAATCATTTTCATCACCATCTGATTTCTTACTTTACGAAACACAAAGCATTATGTATTATCAAGAGAGGAAACCTGCCTCATAGTGAAAATTCATTACGTAATAGCAGTTTTGAACTGCAGTGAGCTGCGAATGTGGGTCGCTAGATGACTGGAACATTTCCCCTCCCTCCTGCAGATTAAAGTCGCTGTGTCTGCACACAGAGATTGTATCCAGGCCTACCAGCCTCAGATTTCTTCTACTAACAACAACACCTTAACACTAAATGTTAAGACGTGTGAACCTGATAATCTCTTCTATCTCGGTAGCAGCACCAGTGTAAGTTATGGTCCTGTGGAATGCAACGATGACTCTTAGGAATGTATATATTTACTTAATTGACACTTTGGCTGATGGGGAAAAAAAGGGCTTTAGAAAAATCACTAAATTCTTTTTTTTTTTTTTTGGAGAGACCAGTAAGGGGATTGCAACCCTTGGCTTGGTGTCACCCGCACCGTGCCCAGCCAGTGAGTGCACCGGCCATCCCTATATAGGATCCGAACCTGCGGCCTCGGTGCTCTCAGTGCCACACTCTCCCAAGTAAGCCACTGGTTCGGCCCCAAAAAATCACTAAATTCTGCTGTAGGGACTAACCTTTGCTAAAATGGTAGCATTAGATTAAAAGTAAACAACCTGCAAACTTGAATGCCTATGAGGACTGAAATGACATTTCTGAACGATGGGTCCCCCTGCCATCTTAATAGCAAGTCGTGGAAATACAACACTGCGTGATGCCCTCTGTGACCCCTGCAGTGACTGAGTATCAGAATTGTAGAGTTTTACCCAGGCCCTTCCTGCCAACAAGATTCCAGATCACTGATGCCTTGGCTGTGCCAGTGGGATGGGTCAGAACCCTTGGGAGTGTTAGGGCAGAATTGTTAACAAGCACACATGGGATCTGATGTGTCTTCTTAAGAGACGAGACTAGAGTGCAGGCAAGCCCCTGAGTGGGATTCCATGGCTCCCATCTTGCAGAGAATATTTCACATCCATTTGTTGCCTCTGAGACTGGGCAGAAGGACAATTGCAGCGCCGTCTCCCATGCTCCCTGGGACGGCTGGTTTTCCTGGGGAACTGTAAGGGGGGCGTTGTGGAGGGCTGTGCCAGGCATGGACAGGAGGTGCCACTGTGCAGTCGTGGTCGCTGTCCCCAGTACTCTGAGTCGGGTTCCACCTCCAGGGAGGGAAGCGTTGAAAGACAAGAGAAGATAGCTTTTTGGTTTTGCTTTATTTTTTTCTTTTTAAGAATAGAGAAAAAGCTGTAAGAATTTGTTTTTTAAAGTGTTTTGGTGGTCATGCCAGCAGTCCAGTGGATAACCCCATCCCCACTCGTGCCCCACCCAGTCTGACTTCCTTGCTGTGGAGATGCAGCGAGGGAACGTGGCCTTCCTCTGGGAGACGGGCTCTGGGTCAGCATGGGTGCAGTTTCCTGACTTCCCCGCTGATGACAACCAATGGCACAGCATCCATGTATCCAGGTAGTGGAGAAGGTGCTCTTGGAATTATCTCTCTTAGTAAACTGTGTCTTACAAGTAATTACATGCTTGTGACATCATATAGGCTTTGAAACTTCTGGAAAGTTAGATTATAATCAAAGAATACTTGGTTTAGATTACAGAAATAAAAGCTTGGGGTTTTTTTCTTATTACAGAAGAAATAAACTTTGTTATCAAAATTAACTATCAAAAGAAGAAAAAAAAGTTTAGATTACCTTTAGAATGTTACCGTTAGAAAGTCTAAATCTGAAGCAGCCAACCAGGTAAAATGCATAGTCCCCAGTAAAGAGGAGTATAACGTGGCGTGATAGAAATGCCACGAGGCGGGCAGTGCTATGCAGGCAGCGAGGTCACACGTGAGGAGGAGGACATTTCCTTAAAATTCAGATACAAGGCAAAATTCTTCCTTTTGAAGCTTCACTCAAGAGGCTTTTTTAAACAGCTTGAAGTATATTTTTCTTTTCACTTTTCTTTAATATTATGGTTTGTTATTGGTGGTGCACTGTTGGGAATTTTTTTCTTTGTTATTTGCAAAATAGGGTGATATTGAGTGCAATCGACTGTCTTCAAGTATAGTTTAGCACATGTTCTGTAAGTATTTTAAGCAAGAATGTAATGTGATGAAATTTATTTCAGAAGAAATATTCTACATGATTTGAGGAGAAATTTGGGGGCATGGCGGGCAAGACAAGAAACAGGGGACCCATTGGGGGGCTGTTATGGTGGACCTGAGAGAATCAGAGGGAGGCTGTGTATGGGACACAGGGGGATATGTGTGTGCCAACTTGAAATTCTGAAAGTTCCTTTTGCCATTTTTTGTGACCTTTAGGTTTGGAAACACTGGTTCGTTGAGTGTAAAGGAAATGAGCTCAACTCAAAAGCCACCAACAAAAACAAATAAATCTCCTGGAACAGCTGATGTTCTGTATATAAACAACTCAACCCTAATGTTTGTTGGAGGACAAATCAAGGTAACACTCTGAAAGTTTATCTGAACAGGACTGGCTGGTTTTACCTGTATATAAAATTAATATGCTTAAATTGTTGAATATATCCTGGTTAAATGAAGATTTTTCTGCTTTGTATGAGTCCATTTCTGTTGCTTATAACAAGATATATGGAACTGGATATTTTATAAAGAAAAATGAAATTTATTGCTTACAGTCCCTGAGGTTGGGAAGTCCAAAGTCCATCTGGCGGTGGTGACAGTGACCCAGGGGTCTTACATTGCAAGATGGTGGAAGCAGAGAGAGCAGAGAAAGAGAAAGACGGAACTTCTTCTCTCTTCTTTTAAAGCCCTCAGAACCACGCCCCTGACCACCATTTTTAATCCATTCACTACTGCAAGGCCCCACAATCCAATCACCTCTTCAAGGCTCCACCTTTCAATTACCATAATAGGATTTCCCACCCTCTTAACAGTCACAGTAGAAACCAAGTTTCTAATACATAAAACTTGGGGGACACAATTCAAGCTTCAGTGAGTTTGGGAGGAACATGAGTCAATCCACTATATGCATTTATTATTTTTCTTTATGTCAGCTCATCTGCAGAGCTGGGCTTGTTTTGTAGGGTAAAGGATCATGCTTAATCAGTAGTGTAAATGGAGCAGGAGCCAATGGTTCATTTTGTTATTTGGGTTTCTTTTCCAATGATGAAACAGGAAATTCAGTATTCCATATTAATTTCCATAAAGTTCTTTTATCTCTGTTGTAAGTCTGCTGGCAGATTAATACTAATTAGTGTTTAGTGAAGAGCTTATATTTATTTTATTATATCAGTGATCCCTTCACCTAGTAAAGTTGAATTACTTGGCCTGATTCAGTGCTCTGAAGTGGGAGCAAGGATCTCAGTTCCAGCTGGGCCCTCACTACTCACTGTGTTCTCTACGACTCTGTTTTCTCACCTGTAAAAGGGGCTTTTCTCTAGCATCTCTGGTAACTGAGATGACCTTTAAGATCCTGTCCAGTTGTCACTCCAGAGTTCCACTCCATAAGTGGAAGAAAATCCAGTGATTACAAACTGACCATTTTTCTGAATGTTGTTCTCTCAAAATTTGGATCTCTTAGATTTAAGCTTCCAAGGAGAAATTTCATGAACTTAGAGAATTTATTCCTCTACACCAAATCTACGTGAGTTGTATTTGTTTGTTTACATTTGAAATCTGCTGCTGTGAATGTTACTCATTTTAAAGGCTGCATTGGAGAGGCCTTCTTGAATGGAATATCCATCGGCCTGTGGAACTATATTGAAAGGGAGGGCAGGTGCCATGGCTGCTTTGGGAGGGAAGCCATCCCACGACTTAGCACACAGTATGTCATGCTGCTTACCTCTGAGACCTGCTTAAAGAATTCATGTGAACATCAAGGATGGACAGTGTTAGTGACATTGGTCATTAACATTGGATATTATGTAGATTATTTACTAACAGAAGCATGATATCATTTTTAACCCATAAAAAGAAGTGCTCTTTTTTCTGTGTCTTGTATGCTTTTATCGTGGATCATAAAATCTAGAAGCTTCAGACATCTGCTCAAACAACCTTCTGTCTCAAAGAGCCACAGTTAAGTCTTACTTAAATCACTGTACATTTTTATTTTGAAAATACCTCCAACGATGAGAATTTTGTGTATGTACAGTCAATTTTATAGATAAGTACTTTATTCCTAACCAAGTTCTATAATTCTAGAAGTAAAATGCATTTGTGAATGGGGAACAACTAATATATTTTTTCATATATTGATATAATAGAAGGCATTTAATAACATAATCTCTCCAAGCTTAACATAGCCCTCATTATAACAAAATAACTGGAACCCCTGAAGTATTATAAGACTGTTTTCTACTTTAGTAATTAAGACAATAAATTGCCTTTTACCATTAAAGAATGTAACATGCGATATAACTTTTTCCCATCTAATGGTCTGGACATCTAGTGTCCAGATAGATCTGTTGTAAACAGGGTGATAGATATCTGTAATACACAAGATCAGTTACAGGCAATCACATTATGTTTAGAAACCCAGGGGAGAGGTTCATTGTCAGGTCTGCTTTCTCACATGGCTCATAGCTTGGGACATTGTAGTTTAAGCCTTTTATTTGCTACTTTCCCCTCCCTTGGCTTACTTTAAAAGTTATCACCAGAAGCTTGATTATTGCAGTCTTAGGACTAAAAAGAATATTGGATTTGGAGTCTAAGTTTCTCAGGCTCCTGTCCCAGGTCTCCCACCAAATTCTTTCCATGTCTTTGGATAATAAGTCTCTTCGCCTCACTGAGGTTTGGTTTCTTCCTCCAGAAAAGGAAAATGATAATCATACTTGTCATGCCCACCCTCCAAAATTATCTTGATGAACACACAGCCTGATGTATGTGAAGATACCTTATAAATGTGAAACACTGCACTGGTGTTCATCATGGGTCTTCCTGCAGTGACATGGCATTGCTTTGTAGGTAAATGTCTCAGCACTATTTTCTTGACCATAAACGTGTGAAAAACCAAGATTTTGCAATTGGCAAGCTTGATCCAAAATGCTAGTACGTCGTGAGGGAACAACACTGCACTAAACTGCAGCAGGATGAGCACATGAATTCCGTCACTTCTTCCTTCTGCTGAGTTTCTAGCAAGGAGCTCTTTCCAGCCATTTAGCAATTCTAACATGAAAAATGCCCCAACCCCTAGACTCTGTCCCCTCCACTGACCTTACTTTTAGAAAGGAAAGTCTTCACAAAGGTTGAATATTTCAACTTTAGCTGTTATAAGGTCCCCTATTTTCATCAGTCATTTTCAGGGTTATATTAAAACCACTGACCTCAAACTGCACCATTGAGTGAATTTAATGATTGCTAATTCTTCTCTCTTGTTGGGGTAAAGAAGTCCATTGGCTATGTGGCTACTGGTTGTGTTCCCCTTGAGACCCCTGTTTGGTTATACTGTCCTGTGTGGAGATGTGGCACTGGGTTTGGTTGTTATACCTTCAACTGGGAATAGTTCAAATTCATACCCCAAATCCACCCTAATCCAAGTTGCACTCTCAAGCCCTTTGGTATTCCAAAAAAGTAATTTTGAAGCACAAGTACAGGTTGCAGATGAACTACTCTGTAATTGAATAATTTTTAAACACAATTATATGTTCCAGATGAACTACTCTGTAATTGAATAGTGAATCAAAGTCAGCCTTTTGAGGTGTGGAGGGAGAAGACTAGAAAACACATTGACCTGAAAAGTGCTCTGGTCCACATTATATAACTTTCTTGTAGGCCATATACTCATGTCAAAATATGATACAAGTCTTTGAACTCATCCTACAGACTTTTGAGGATGTTAATGACTTTTTTTTGGTAAAATGATCCTGTTAGTACATGTGAACCTATTCGTTTTCCATTGTAACTCCAGTTTACCTGATGTGTTAGTTAAAACCAGCAGAAGGTGATGAATGCCAATATAAAAATTACTCTGAAAGCACTGGAATTAAGAAGAGGCAGTTTCATTAAAGAAAAGTAGAATAACAAATCTGTAAAGTAGGAATGTTTATAACAGTTATCCTCTTGTGAAGAAATTTCTTTTTCCTGTAGTGAACACTGCCTACATTGACTTTCTTTTCTTTTTATAACAGCTAGACCTTTGTTTTGCACAATCTCGTGGCAAGCATATTTTCAAATATTATGATTTATGCTTGTTTTCAAATTCATGACTTCTGCACGGGAGAGCTCAGCCGGAGTGTGGTTTGCTCTCCCACCTGCTGAGAGGGGGTGTCCTTCATCTGTTCTGCTGTGCAGCCCCCAGGATGAGGACTCTGCCTTCCATTTTGATGGGAGTGGCTATTCTGTTGTGGAGAAGATGCTCCGGGCTACTGTGACTCAGATAATAATGCTGTTTAGTACCTTTTCACCCAGCAGGCTGCTTCTCTACCTTGCTTCAAATGTCACCATAAGAATCTTTATAGGGCACAAGGCCCTGTTGTGTAGATACATTTAGATTGCTATGAGGTTGTGTTTAATGAGGACTTACTAATACAATATATAGGTGTTATTCCATACAACTTTCCCATTTTAAGTCATTTATTAATTATATGAATACAAATTCATGGAAGAGCCTGTGGAAAATACAGATCACCAAGCAGAAACTAGCCTTCCAATCATTATAGATATTGAGTAAACATTTGTTATTAAAATCGGAGTCCAAATAATTCGTCTCGTTTCCGTTCACTGTGACCACAGTGGCCTTGCCGAACACGTCCACAGGAATTTCACATTCCCATTTTCATCTCACGTGCTAGTGATTTGTGTCTCTCAATCTTCTCGTTTTATTTTTAGGACTGGCTCATTTTTAAGTCTAAACAAAAAAGATACAAAGAGATTCCACTTCTCTTACTGAACTGGAGATTTTGGTAACAACAAATCGTGTTTCATTCATATTTGTGTAGTATTCTACAAAGCTTTCATGGGCATTTTTAGTTACGTACCATAGACCTCTGTCTATGGGGCCAGAACCAGTTTTCTCAGTTTGACTTTAGAAGGTTTCTGCCATCTCTGACTTGAAGGGAACAGAAAACTTGAGATGAAGATGTAGCCATGAGGAATTGCCTTTTCTTCTTCCCAGAAAGACTTTTTATCCATTGAGCTGCTCCATGGCAGAGTTAAAGTCACGTTTGACCTGGGTTCAGGACCTCTTGCACTTATTACAGACAGACGTTATAACAATGGAGGCTGGTACAAAATTGCCTTCCGGCAGAGCCGGAAGCAAGGTGCGTGCACAGATGGACTCACCTGATGGTGGTCACCCTCATGAGAATGGAAATCTTTCCAAACTCAGCAGTCTTTACTTTAGTTTCCTGGATATTCTTGAATGATATTCTAATTGAAGCCATTGCTGTCTTTGGAATACCAAGCAACAGGAGTCACATTTCGCAGGAGTAACGCGATAGTTCTATTTGTCTGTGGTTTCCAAGTGCATTATTTAGCATTAGTTGCTGAGTTGGCATCAGGAATCAAATCCATTCTATATCTTTCCACACATACTGCTGTCATTTAGTGATGTGTATTCTGGACTTATTGACATTTGTAGAGAGGATTTTCACTACTTCAATAGTCAAGAACATCAGCTGGTCACATTTGCAGAACTGAAAACAATGTGACTTTGCAAATGAACTTTGTTGGCACTCGTGTGCGTTTACTTTAATGTAGAAAGTGATTTTCACTTTCTCCTCTTCCTTTCAATCTCCTTTTAGGACTCCTTGCAGTTATTGATGCATATAACGCCAGTTATAAGGAAACCAAGCAAGGGGAGACTCCAGGAACATCTTCCGACCTCAATCGTCTTGATAAGGATCCGATTTATGTGGGTGGATTACCTAGGTCAAGAGTTCTAAGGTATGATATGAAACTGCAGAATTTCTGTGTTCCTGATTACCAACCATATTACTTTGCTAGGGCTATGACAAAGTAGCACAAACTGGGTGTCTTAATCAACAGAAACTTGTTCTCTCCCAGTTCTGGAGGCTACAAGTCTGAAATCAAGGTGTCAGCAGGGCTGCTTCCTTTTGAGGGCTGAGAGGCAGCCTGCTCCATGCACCGAGCTTCAGGTAGCTTCAGGCAGTCCTTAACTTGTACGTGGCATTGTCCCTGTGCCTACACATCATCTTCCCTCTGTGCCTCTGTCACTTTTCCAAATTTCCCATTCTTATTACGACACCAGTCATATTGGACTAGGATTTACCCTGATGATCTCATCTTAACTTGATTACACAAGTTGAGACACCGTTCAGCCCATTACATCCACTTTTATTCAAAGTACTATATGCCATGGGGCCGGCCCGGTGGCGCACTGCGCTAGTGCGCCGCTTGGGAAGTGCGGTGGCGCTCCTGCCGAGGGTTCGGATCCCACATACAGACCGGTTCCTGCTCACTGGATGAGCGAGGTGTGGGGGCAACACCGAGGGTTGCGATCCCATTGCCGGTCCTGGTCCGGTACGGGGGCAACACTGAGGGTTGCGATCCATTGCCGGACACAGAAAAAGACAAAAAAAAAAAAAAGTACTATATGCCATATTAATTGAGAAGTAAAGCAGGCCTTCTGCAGAAAAATCAATGATTTTGTGTATATCGCCTTTAGAACATCTAAAAATTATTACCGTGCGGTATTTGGAGACCCTGCCTTCTGTCACACTCCATCCTTCTCTCTAGACATTTTACAGTACTAGAATCTCTTTAAAATCAAAAAGCAGTCATGCTTTCTGCAGACTTATCTGGATTCCCCCTCTGTGTGATTAGAATGAATAACATACGTGAAAGTTGAAAGACCAACGGCAGGAAGTTGGATGAAAGACGGCAGAGGAGAGAGACAGAGGAATCCTTTTATAACACTGATTCACATTTAGCTTTGTGACTTGGATGATTTACGTAAACCTTGTGTTGGTTCATTGTCCTCAGCTTTGTAATTTTGGATTGGACAAACTAAGCCTCTAAGGTTCTTTCACACCATTTAAAAAAAAAGTCGTAAATAAAGGCCAGCAGTCAAGGCAAGACCTCCTCCAGGGAGAGGCCATCAAATGTCTAAACTGGGACACTCAGCCCAGTGGTTTTCAAATGTATACTGTGGCACTACCCTGTCTGTCATTAGGCCAAGTTCTTTTACAGAATCCCAATATGTGGCGCAGATGTGCAGCCTTTCCAGTTGCTGTGCATGAGCAGCAGGAGCCCACTTCCCCACTCCCCCCTTCTCTTTCCCAGAAATCTCTGAAAGTTCCATGAATCATAGTTTGCAAGCGCAGTCACCTTGTGATCTTAGAAATGGATGCATTTAAATCCAGGAAGGGGGTCATTTGCCAAGTCTTATAGACTTTCATGGTAGAAAGGACTTGGGTATCATCAAGGTCAGTTTCCTCATTTACATTGGAAGAAACTGAGGTCCAGAAAGGTTGAAATTTGTTTCAAATCACGTAGTTGCCTAATGGGCCACAGCTCATTGCTCAGCACAGAGGGAAAAGATGAGGTGTGACTATAACAGGAAACCAGATTGCTGCACAGTTCTTCTGTGACTAGCTAATGCATAGGAGACAGCTGGAAGATGTTCAATGGTCTCCATATTTTAGAAATGAGAGAAAAATATGATATTGACTCGGAGGCTAAGAAATGGGGTTTTGGATAATCCCAGACTTGACCAAATGCAGTTATTTCCTTCAGAATAAAGTTCATGAATATACAGTATGGAAAGCAGCCAGTGACTGCTCGAGCCTACTGATCCTAGGAAATAGCATCGCCTACACCTGCCCCCAGGGGGCAAGTGTTCTGCTCTCTGCAGGGGCTGGATTGGAACCTGTGGGCTATGAATTTCTTATGACAATGTAAGTCTTATAATTGGCCTGTGTTTAAATGAGTGTATTTAAATTGTAATGATTATAAGAGTTCACCTTAAGATATTAAACATATTTCTTATGTGGTTGTCATCTAAGTAGCCAAACTCACTAAGTTCAACCTGTTTCTCTAATCCTAGAGAGAGTATTTCTTTGACCTGAAGTTCTCAACACCAATATTGTTCTTCGAGGGAGTGATACACGAAAACAGGTTTCCATGTATGTTGGTCCATTATTCCTTTCTTTAAAAATGGAATTATGAAATCCAAATTTTGCGCTGGTTGTTCGCATGTCCTTCCCTACAGGAAAGGTGTCAGTAGCAAAAGCTACGTGGGCTGTATCAAGAACCTGGAA